ATTAAGTTAAGATGAGGTCATTATAGTGAGCTCCAATCAAATGTGATTTATGTCCTTGTAAGAAGAAGAAAATAACCAACTAAAGACACACAGGGAGAATATTTTGTGACCAGAGAGGTGGAGATTAGAATGATGCAGATCCAAGCTAAAATATACCAAGGATTGATGACCACTGCCAGAAGCTACTATACAAAGCAGCAAAGGAAATTCTACCAGTTCTCAGAGAGAGCATGCTACACAGCTGTGGTCCTGCCATCCCCCTTGCTGTCATCCTGGCCAGATCCTTTGCCTCTATTTCCAGTTAGATACTGTCTTCTACAGCCCATGCTGTCCTCTCTCTTGGGTTACTCTCTTTTTGTACGGGACCGTCTTTTCAAGTTGCCTCCTGAGTTAACATAAATGGCAGGGAAATTTTTGAGGTGATGGATGTTTGAAAATACCTTAATTCTATACTTTTAACTGCCAGTTTGGCTTTATATAAGATGCTAAGTTAAAAAGTATTTTCCTTCAACATTTTGAAGCCATTCCTCAATAGTCTTCTAGCTTTCCAGATTGTCCTTGAGAAGAAAAAAAAAAACAATGAAATTCTGATTCCTGATCAGTTGAGTCTGTGTTTTTTCTTCTCTCTGTAAGGTCTTTAAGATTTTCTTTTTGTTCCGGTGTTCTCGATTTCCTGTTGATATGCCTTGATGTGTGGTTCTATTCCTAATATTGCACTGGGGAGCCCAGTATAATCCAGAATCTCTGATCATTACATTCTGGGAAATATTATCCAGTCATCACTCTAATAATCACCTCCCCTCCCTTTTCTTTAGTCTTTCTTTCTGAAACTCCTGTTGTTCTGATATTGGACTCCTAGACTGAACTTCCAGTTTCCTTATCCTTTCCTTCCAAGTTTCCAACAGCTTTTCTTCTTATTCTGGAAATATGTCTCTGCTTTCATCGAATTTTTCTATCGAGTCTTCTGTATCTGTTGTTATAATAATATCATAAGGTTATATTTATAATTACAAATTACATTTATAAAACAAACTCTTCACATTCCCTGGTACCGTATCTTTTCTTATCTCTATGAGGATACTAAAGTCCTTTGAAGTCTTCTCCCTGAAAACTCCTTTCCCCAGGTTTTAACTATTCTTTTGTGGGGGAGGTGTCTTCATTTTTCATATTGAAGAATAGCATCTAGTGATATTTACCTCTTTGTTTATATTCATAATGCGATACTAAAAAAAATATGATAGGAAGTACTACATAAAGTCAAAGTGGGGGAAGTTCTCAATAACCTGACCTTGTTGGTGGGTGATTTGACTGGGGGGGGGGGTTCTTGAAAGACCCATGAATGTTGATGTATTAATTCTATTTTCTTGTGCCATTTAGAGTCTCTAGGGAAGAAAGTCTGATCTCTCATCTTCCAAGACATAACTTGTCAGGGTTTTAGGAGCTGAAGAATGATGGAGGGAAGGAGTTTCAGATTTCTTACCACCCAGTGTCTAGATCTGCACTGTCCAATGTGGTAGCCGCTAATGTCACATGTAGCTTCTGAGTACTTAGCAATTTTTATATTGATGTTAAATAAAATATATAGTTTAATTTTACCTTAACTTTTAAAATATGACTACTATAAATTTTTAAATTACTCACATGGCTCACATTTGTGGCTCACCTTATATTTCTATTAGACCATGCCAATTCAACTTTTACAGAATTCTCTTTCATCTGTGGTACAGCTCTCCCTCAGTGGTGCCCAGAGTCCCTCCCCTTAAAAATCCACAGGGCCAGCTTCTATAGTAATAATCCTCCTTTCTTCTGCTGATGTGAGAGATGGGCAGTCCCCTGGCTGCTCAGAATGGTTGAGGCTTCTTAAAAGACATTAATCTTCCTATTTTCATTGCCACTTTCACTCCACTTTCAGAGGTACCTAACTCTGCCGTTTCCTGAGTCTTTCTGTGTTTCTGCTCACAAAGTTCCTTCTGGTCTCTCTTAAAACTAATCTTGGAATTTGACTTTCCATGTTCTGCTAAATCAGTTACCATTTATTCTTCTGCTTTCTAGCCTCCACAGTGTTTCTCTTGTCTCATCTTCCTTGGGCTTCAACTTTGTGATATTAAAACTCGAATTTGACTGTTCCTTTAGTGAGGGATTAGGAAGTGCATGTGTTTAATCTTTCATTTTTAACTGGAAGTTCATTTCAGATTTTATTTTGTTTTAGCCCTGTCCTCCCCACTCCACAGAAGCTTAACTTTTATTTCTTTTTAAAAAATACTTATTTATTTATTTGGCTGCTCCAGGTCTTTGTTGCGGCATGTGAACTCTTAGTTGCGGCATGTGGAATCGAATTCCCTGACTAGGGATCGAACCCAGGCCCCCTGCGTTGGGAGCCTGGAGTCTTGGCCACTGAACCACCAGGGAAGTCCTGAAGCTTCAGTTTTCAAGGTCACATGTAATTGTCCTGCCAAACCTAATGAACACTTCTTTGTTCATCTTCCTTGACCTTTTCATCACAAAGCTGATCACTTCCCCACAAAACACTGCTCACTCCTTGGTTCCAAGGCACCATACTGGGTTCCTCCTCAGTGCTCCTTCTGCAGTTTTGTTGAGTACTTCTCCCCTACCTACTGTTTAAATATTGAAGTGCCTCAAGCCTCAGTCTTGAATTGTCTTCTCTCCTCTGTAAACATTCTTTTAATGATTTTATCTGCTACAATTTGTCTAATCCTGATGACTCATAAAAGTTTATCTTCCAAATTATCTCTATCTTGAGTTCTGCATTAGTGAATTTCTGATAGGCATCTTAAATATTTAGTGTCCCACATGAAGCAAATAATTTTCCCACCTAAGCATGCTTCTCCCCTCATCCATCTCAGAAAATGTCAGCGTCAAGCCAAAAGGCTGAGAGTCATTCCTTACTTCAGCTTTTCCTTTGTCCCACATATCTGATCCATCATCGGAGTTTTGAGGGTATACTTCAAATTACCTCTGGGTATTCACCATCTCCACTGCTGCTACTTTAATCCAATTACCATCCTCCCCATCTACTATAATATCATCAGCCTATTTCACTTTCTCTCCACTCTAATCCATTCTCTCCATATCAGGTGTTCCATCAATTGCTTCTTAAACACACATCTCTGAACTCCAGAATCCTCTGTAAAAATCTTAATCATACTTTAAAGAAAAGTCTTAGCTTTCTTATTTGTTTTGTTTTTCTGTGAATGTAGTAGGTCTCCATTTTTAATGAAAAAATTAATAAGAAAAATATTAATACATAATAATAGGTAAAAGCCAAATTTTTAAAATTTATTGAAGTATAGTTGATTTGCAATGTTGTGGCCAAATTGTTTAAAGGAAAAGAAAGAAATTGTATAAAACCTTATCAAATATTGATTGAGAACCACCTACACATTCATCAAAAATAGAAGTTTGTTTGTTTGTTTGTTTTTCTAATTTAAAATCTGAAAGGAATTTGCCCAAAAAAAGTAAAGTAATGGATAAGACCCCACATAGCAAAATGTTTTAAATGCAAAAATATTTACCATGTCAGGACTTCCCTGGCAGTCCAACAGTTAAGACTCCATCCTTCTACTGCAGGGGAGCATGGGTTTGAGCCCTGGTCAGGGAACTAAGATCCCCACATCTGCACTGTGCAGCCTAAAAAAAAAGAGAAAGAGAACAAATTTACCACATATGTGTTTCTTGTATTGGCTCTCAGGGAACAGTTGTTAAAATTTAAATGCCATTTCATAAAGACATATAGGGGATTAGATTGGGGAGTAAATGTATTATTTTAGTTATACTACCTGTATACAATTGACAGCAAAAGTAAAATAGTCCTTTCCTGACATAATATGCAATTCCATGCCTTCAGATCATCCAAACAGTGGAGAATAGAAAGCTGCCTCCACCAAATTGATATGGACAAGAAAAAACAACAAAACCCCACAACTGTCTAATTTCTTTCCCTCTGGACATATTTCTTTATGTTGATTGGCATAAGGAAAAGGCAGCTGCCCACAGGGCCCCTCTGTTTGTGGCTGCAATTGCAGTGCTGAGGATAAAATGTTTTGGAAAGGATCAGGGATAGAAGTTGTGTAGAAACAGTAAGAAGACCACTCACAGTATGTCTCTGCACCACACCGTGCTGTAGTGGAGAGCACTGTGTGGAGTGTGAAATGTGACATTTAGAGTCAAAAGACTGGTATAAACCCTTGTACCAGAACTTAGGAACTCTATACTCTTAGACAAGTCTCTTATTCTCTCTTGGCCACAAATGATACTCAAAAATGCAGCTTTTAATATTTTGAAATGGGAAAATAATCATACCATTTTATTTGAGGTTTTTATAATAAAATGAGATGATTTATCTGAAGGGGTGTGTGTGTGTGTGTGTGTGTGTGTGTGTGTGTGTGTTAAGTCGCTTCAGTCGTGTCCAACTCTTTGCAACCCTATGGACTGTAGCCCACCAGGCTCCTCTTTTCATGGACTTCTCCAGGTAAAAATACAGGAGTGGATTGTCATACCTTCCTGCAGGCAAGCTTCCCAACCCAGGGATCGAACCCAGGTCTCCCATACTGCAGGCGGATTCTTTACCATCAGGAAAGCCCAAAAACACTGGAGAGGGTAGCCTATCCCTTTTCCAGGGGATCTTCCTGACCCAGGAATCGATCCAGGGTCTCCTGCATTGCAGGTGGATTCTTTACCAGCTGAGCTACCAGAGAAGCTTAAAATGAGGGTATGGAAAGTGTTAAATGACTCCTAGACTTTATTATCTCCCAGCATTAATGAAAAAGATTTGAACAAATACCTCTGTGCTTGGAGCCTAGGATTTGGTTTTCTTACAAGAGTTACTAAAATGCTCCTGGAAATATCTGCTGTCTCTGCTCTCACTTGACCAGCATCATGGAAATACGGGGAGAAAGAGGAGGAAGCAGAGAAAGGCCCTAGCCAGAGGCCCTGCTCTTGGGGAGAAAAAGACAAAACAAGGCATTCGTTTTGATTTTCAGGTTCTTCAAGAAGCCGATCAGCAATACAGGTGTATTGATTCTTATTACCATACACAAGACAACTCTTTACTGTTGGTCTTTCATAACCCAATGAATCTACAGCGTCTGCGTCATGAACACTGGAACGTTGGCCTTCACTCTAATGTTGGATTCAGGTAACCAACCTAGATGGTCTAGTTTGTTATCTTAGTTAGCGTGTTACTTGGTTTTTAGTTCCTTAGCCTAAGCTGAGTGGTTCAACCCAATAAAAACATTTGTGCGGTACCGCAGATTCAGTGAAGGTCACCAAGGTGAATGCTGTGTGCCAGGCACTAAAGAAGACAGATGTCATTCCTGGCCCCATTGAATCTCGTGGGGATATTATTAAATTACACTTGATTCATTTAGACTCCAATATAACAGCCTCTGTAGGAACTACAAAACATGGCATTCCATATGCAGGTTTTGGGTAACTCCACTTGACCTAGGGTAACTGAACGACACATGCCCTCAGGTCCCCAGCAAACTGAGACCTCTAGGAATCAGTGATTTTTTTCCTTCCCAGCTCCTTAATTATTTAAATTCTATCTTAAAATTGTTCTCCCCTTTCTCATTAGTGATGAGAACTTTCATTATTTTTCTGTACTGGTTAATGTATATTCAGTATTTGTTATTTATATAGAATTTAGTCCTAAGGGATACAGAGAGGATGAACATGGACCTACAGAAAATTGGAGAAATGGACTGTGTGCATACATATACACAGAAACACACACTTTAAAGTCATAAGATGATTTTTTAAAATTAGGATACACAATAGGTATGCCAAGCTAATGTATTAAACTGTGCTTTCCTTTGTTTTGTTTTTCATTGACAGTAATTACGCTTTTCATTTCTTTGTTGACTAAGACTTCAGTACAACTTTGAGAACATTGTTGTCTTATTCTAGGTTTTGAATATTCATCTATTAAGTATTTTTTCATTTTTTTCCCATAGGTAAATGCTCCTTATTAGGTTAGAAAATTTTCTTATGTTGCTAGTTTGCTCTAGGTGCTTAATTATAAATGACTATTAAATAATATCAAATGATTTTTCTGCATCAATTTAGGTGTTCTCTTTTTTCCTTTAATCTGTTAAAGCGTGAAATTTTATTAATAGATATTCTAATTCCTGTGAAAATCCGATTTGTCCATTATGTTATCTTGTTTATATATTGCTGTATTTGGTTTGCTAATATATTACTCAGAATATGTCCATCTGTATTCATGGGTAAGACTCAGCTATAGTTTTTCCCATCTTTAAATGTTCTTGTCCAGCCTGAGATTGAGATTTTTGTTAGCCTCATAAATTAATGGGCAGATATTCTCCCTTTTTATCTCTATTTTTTTATTTTCTAAAAGAATTTATGTAAGACTAAGATATATATTCCTTTGTCATTTGGTAAAACTGGCAAATAAGAACATCTGGACCTGGGAAGATGTTTAATTACTGATTTAACCTCTGTCACAATTATTAGACTTTTGGGGTTTACTATGTATTTTTGAACTAGATTTGATAATATGTATTTCTCTAGGAATTTGACCATTTTACCTGTTTTCAAAATTATTGCATAAAGTGGATTACAATATGCTCTTACCTTTTTGTGTTACACGTATCTGTTTTAATTCCTAATGCTTTTAATCTGTGATTTCTCTCTTTATCTGGGCCAGTCTTGCCAAAGGTTTGCCAATTTTGTTAAATTTTTTTAAAAGCAATTATTGCATTTGATCCTCTTCTCCTTTTTATTTTTCAAAATTATGCTCTCATCTTTGTTATTTTTTATTTTCTCTCAGTTTCTTTGGATTATTCCAATGTCCTTTAACTTTTCAACTGAGAATTTTATCTCAGGATTTTGAGTTATTTTTGTTGCTTTGCAAGTATTTAAGGCAAAAATTTATTCTTAAATACCACCTTAGCACTACAACATATCTGACTGATGGAATTTTATTATCATTCATTTTTTTGAACACATAATTTTTTTATTGAATTATAGCTGATTTACTATTATATTAGTTTCAGGTGTACAGCATTGTGATTCAATATTTTCACAGATTATGCTGCATTTAAAGGACTGTAAAATATTGGCTACATTTCCCTGTGGTATACAGTGTATCCCTGGAGTTTATTTTATACCTAGTCGTTTGTGCCTCTTTACCCCTCTTCTTATCTTGCCTCTTTCCCCTTCTCTCTCCTAACTGGTAACCACTAGTTTGTTCTCTGTGTCTGCAAATCTGTTTTGGTTTTGTTATATTCATTCATTTGTTTTATTTTTTAAATTCCACATGTAGGTGATAACAAACAGCATTTGTCTTTCTCTGTATGACCTATTTGACTAAACATAGGAGGCCCATCCATGTTGCTGCAAATGGCATAAGTCCGCTCTCTTTTATGGCTGAGTAGGAGGAGCCTGGTGGGCTGCGGCCCATGGGGTCGCTGAGTCGGACACGACTGAGCGACTTCACGTTCACTTTTCACTCTCATGCATTGGAGAAGGAAATGGCAGCCCACTCCAGGACTCTTGCCTGGAGAATCCCAGGGACGGGGGAGCCTGGTGGGCTGCCGTCTATGGGATCTCACAGAGTCGGACATGACTGAAGTGACTTAGCAGCAGCAGCAGTGTTCCATTATGTATATGTACCACATCTTTATCTATTCATCTGTTGATAGACACCTAGGTTGCTTTCATATCTTGGCTGTTTTGAACAATGCTGCTATATCATTCGTTTCTCATTTCTATAATTCTTATTTGACCCATGGATTGCATAGAAATGTGAGTTTTTATTTTAAACATCTGGCTGAGTTACATTTTTATTATAGTTTATAATTTCAAAAGTAGTAGTCAGACAACATGTTCTATAGAATACTGATGCTATGAAATTTGTTGATCCACTGTGTTGCTTAATATGTGGTCAGTTGTTATAAGTACTCCAAGTTTGTGTGTTAAGGAAGTATATTCTTCAGTTTTTGAATACAGGTTTGTATTTCTTAATCTTCACTATTCTTTGTGATTTTTAAAACCTTAGTCAATCAACTAATGAGAAATGATTTAAAAAAAACTCAATGTGTGATGGAACTTGTAGATTTCTTCCTATAAATTTGTCAGTTTTTGACTTCATGCATGTTAAGATTGACACCACCCTTATGATGACACCATCCTTATGGCAGAAAGTGAAGAAGAACTAAAGATCCTCTTGATGAAAGTGAAAGAGGACAGTGAATAGGTTGGCTTAAAACTTAACATTCAAAAAACTTAGATCATGGCATCCAGTCCTACCACTTCATGGCACATAGATGGGGAGACAAGGGAAACGGTGACAAACTTTATTTTCTTGGGCTCCAAAATCACTGCAGATGGTGACTACAGCCATGAAATTAAAAGACACTTGCTCCTTGGAAGAAAAGCTATGACTAACCTAGACAGCATATTAAAAAGCAGACATTACTTTACTGACAAAGGTCCATCTAGTCAAAACTATGGTTTTTCCAGTGGTCATGTGTGGAGGTGAGAGTTGGACCATAAAGAACACTGAGTGCCAAAGAATTGATGCTTTTGAACTGTGGTGCTGGAGAAGACTCTTGAGAGTCCCTTGGGCTGCTTGGAGATCTAACCAGTCAAACCTAAAGGAAATCAGTCCTGAATATTCATTGGAAGGACAGATGCTGAAGCTGAAACTCCAATACTTTGGCCATCTGATGCGAAGAACTGATTCCTTAGAAAAGACCCTGATGCTAGGATTGAAGATTGAAGACGGGAGGAGAAGGGGAAGACAGAAGATGAGATGGTTGGATGCCATCACCAACTTGTACATGAGTTTGAGCAAGCTCAGGGAGTTGGTGATGGACAGGGAAGCCTGATGTGCTACAGTTGTGGGGTCACAAAGAGTCAGACACGACTAACTGACTGAACTGAACTGATATTAAGATTATGTTAATAAGCAAAACAAGAATTGAGTTGTTTTCCTGGTTAAGCTTTTATCAATATTCAATGTCTTTACCTCTAGGATTGCTCTTTACTTTCAAGGTTATATTGTCCAATATTGATATATCTGTACAGACTTTATCACATGTATCTTGTCTGATACTGATAAACTTTACAAGTCTCTTTTATATTTTATCTTGTATATCCTTTTCTATCCACTTACCTCTTGCAAAATATATATATAGCCAAATTTTAAAAATTCATCTGACAATATTAACCTCTTGAGAACCTAGTTCATATACTTGGATTAATTTCAACCATTTAATTTTGTCCTTTTATTTGCCCTTTTATTCAGTTTCTTTGTTTCTCCTTAGTTTGAATTAATTTCATTTTTATTACTACTACAAGAATGACAGTTATATACTATATCTCAACTCATTCTTCAGAAATTGTGATATACACTTTTAAATTTACAAAGTCATCAGCACCTTATGTTGTTCAGTCACTCAGTCGTGTCCGACTCTATGATCCCACGGATTGCAGCGCTCTAAGCTTCTCTGTCCTTCAGTGTCTCCTGGAGTTTGCTCAAATTCATGTCCACTGAGTCAGTGATGCTGTCTAACCTTCTCATCCTCTGCTGCCCACTTCTTTTGTCTTCAATCTTTCCCAGCATTGGGGTCTTTTCCAATGAGTCGGGTCTTCACATCAAGTGGCCAACTATTGGAGTTTAAACATCAGTCCTTGAAATGAATATTCAGGATTGATTTCCTTTAGGATCAACTGCTTTCATCTCCTGCAGAAGACCGTGCCTTTACCTTCCTACCAAATAATACAAGCACAATAGTGTGTTTTAATTTATTATCCCCAGTCCACATTTTCTATTATTATAGAGCACTTTAATTCTATCTTAATGTTTTTACCCCACAACATAATAACATTATTGTTTTCATATCCAGTGTTTATAAATTAATATATGCCTACTATTTTATTTTTCCCTTCTTCCTAAGAGCTTTAAAAGTCCATATAGTGAGGATCTTTGATAGTATAATAAGTTTTGTTTATTGCAAGTATCTTCATTTTAGCCTTGTTTATGAAAGATAATTTTGCTAAGGATATAGCTCTTGATTGACATGTAAATTCTAAGCACTTTAAAGAAAATTATCCCATTGTCTTCTGAATGCCTTTGAAGTTATTAAGATGTAAACATCATTCTTAATAAGAAATGTTACAAGCATGCTCTATAAAATTAGAAACAAAATAGAGGTAACTACCATGACCAATTCTAAGCAACATTTAATGAAGATCTAAATCAGAAAAATTACTAAAAGTATCTTTAAAGTATAGGAATCCAAAAGGAAACTGTCATTATTGGCAGCTGAGGTTATTAGCTACACAGGAAAATCCCAAACAATCTATCTAAAAATGTGAATTAATGGGAGAAATTACCTGATGATCAGCCCCGAAAATTCGTTCAGCAACCCTGATGCTGAAGCTCCAGCACTTTGGTCTCCTGATGCAAACAGCCGATTCCTTAGAAAAGACCCTGATGCTGGGAAAGACTGAAGGCAAAAGGAGAAGGGAGCAGCAGAGGATGAGATGGTTGGATGGCATCACGGACTCAATGGACATGAATTTGAGCAAACTCCAGGAGATAGTGGAGGGCAGAGGAACCTGGCATGCTGCAGCATGACCCCATGTCAGTCCATGGGGTCACAAAGAGTTGGACACAACTTAGCAACTGGATAACAACAGCAGCATATCCTCTAACTGCATTTTTTTGCACTACAAGAAATTGTTAGAAAATGTGATGTTTAAAAAAGGAAAAAATACCATTGACAACAGAAACAAAAACTAGAATACCCACAAAAGTCAAACCTAGGGTTGGTTGTTTACACCCACACTTTGACCAAAGAAAATCATTCTTTTTCCATTCCCCTCCCAAGTGAAAATGTTAGATATACTTGGCTTCAGATATTACAAATTAAATAATAAAACCCAACACATTGATTTTTACATACATTTTATAACTTAACAAAATAGATACATTTTATTTGCAATTTTTCTCTTTCAGTAACCTATTTTATGACATGTTCTATAATTTACTTCTCCAGTGATGTTTATATTATTCTCCCAAATGTGTAAAATATATCATTGAGAGATGTATCAGTGTTACACTAACCTTATGGATAACACTGAAAATTATGTGTATTTTTTATGACCTGATTCTCCAAGATAATTGTGGATTCAAGTTAACAACCAGAATCACATGGTAAGTAGAATTTAATGCAATTCTGTGTTTACTTAGCTTTCTCAAGAACCCAGGGCAGGAGATACAGCATGACCCCATCTTCATCTCATCAGGGGGTCAGCAGCTACCCCAAGGCACCACTCCTTTTGCTTCCCTCCGCCACACGGGTTGCATGTACCTGCTGAAATGAGCATCAAGGTACCATGTCGCCCCCCTTCACCTGAGAAGCCACAGCCTACACTCCACTCCCATTTGTCTCATTAAGGTGTGAGCCCACAGTTCTGAGGATTCACAGCCACCAGGGAAGTCTATGAACAACCTAGACTGCATATTAAAAAGCAAAGACACTACTTTGCTGAAAAAGGTACATATAGTCAAAGCTATGGTTTTTTCCAGTAGTCATGTATGGATGGAGAGTTGGACCATAAAGAAAGCTGAATGCTGAAGAATCAATGCTTTTGAACTGTGGTGTTGGAGAGGACTCTTGAGAGTCCCTTGAACCGCAAGATTAAGCCAGTCAGTCCTAAAGGAAATCAGTCCTGAATATTCATTGGAAGGACTGATGCTGAAGCTGAAATTCTAACACTTTGGCCACCTGATTCAAAGAACTGACTCATTAGAAAAGACCCTGATGCAGGCAAAGATTGAAGGCAGGAGGAGAAGGGGACACAGGATGAGATGGTTGGATGGCATCACCAACTCAATGGACTTGAGTTTGAACAAGCTCTGGAAGATGGTGAGGGACAGGGAGACCTGGCATGCTGCAGTCCTTGAGGTTACAGAGTTGGACATGACTGAACAACTGAAGAACAATAACATTACTAAATCCCAGTAAGCAGTAAGATGCTGTCAGTTCAGTTCAGTTTAGTCGCTCAGTCATGTCCAACTCTTTGCAACCCAAGGACTGCAGCACGCCAGGCTTCTCTGTGCATCACCAACTCCCAGAGTTTACTCAGATTTATGTCCATTGAGTCGGTGATGCCATCCAACCATCTCATCCTCTGTTGTCCCCTTCTCCTCCCACCTTCAATCTTTCTCAGCATCAGGTCTTTTTAAATGAGACAACTCTTTGCATCAGGTGGCCAAAGTATTGCAGTTTCAGCTTCAGCATCTGTCCTTCCAATGAATATTCAGGACTGATTTCCTTTAGGTTTGACTGGTTAGATCTCCATGCAGTCCAAGGACTCTCAAGAGTCTTCTCCAACACCACAGTTCAAAAGCATCAGTTCTTCGGTGCTCAGCTTTCTTTATAGTCCAACTGTCACATCCATACATGACTACTGGAAAAACCATAGCTTTGACTAGATGGACCTTTGTTGGCAAAGTAATGTGTCTGCTTTTTAACATGCCATCTAGATTGGTTATAACTTTCCTTCCAAGGAGTAAGCATCTTTTAATTTCATGGCTGCAGTCACATCTGCAGTGATTTTGGAGCCCAAGAAAATGAAGTCTGTCACTGTTTCCATTGTTTCTCCATCTATTTGCCATGAAGTGATGGGACCAGATACCATGATCTTACATTTCTGAATGTTGAGTTTTAAGCCAACTTTTTCACTGTCCCCTTTCACTTTCATCAAGAGGCTCTTCAGTTTCTCTTCACTTTCTGCCATAAGGGTGGTGTCATCTGCATATCTGAGGTATATTTCTCCTGGCAGTCTTGATTCCAGCTTGTGCTTCATCCAGCCCAGCATTTCGTATGATGTACTCTGTATGTAAGTTAAATATGCAGGATGACAATATATAACCTTTACATAGACTCCTTTCCTGATTTGGAATCGGTCTGTTGTTCCATGTTCGGTTCTAACTGACCTGCATACAGATTTCTCAAGAGGCAGGTCAGATGGTCTAGTATTCCCATCTCTTTAAGAATTTTCTACAGTTGTTGTGATCCACACAGTCAACGGTTTTGGCATAGTCAATAAAGCAGAAGTAGATGTTTTTCTGGAACTCTCTCACTTTTTCAGCAATCCAGCTGATGTTGACAATTTGATCTCTGGTTTCCATACCTTTTCTAAATCCAGCTTGAACATCTCAAAGTTCACAGTTCATGTACTGATGAAGCCTGGCTTGGAGAATTTTGAGCATTACTTTGCTAGCATGTGAGATGAGTGCAATTGTGTGGTAGTTTGAGCATTCTTTGGTATTGCCTTTCTTTGGGATTGGAATGAAAACTGACTTTTTCCAGGTCAGTAAGATGCTGACATATACATAAATGCACAAGCAGCGTAGGGTATAGTATTTAGGATGTAGGTATTCACAAGTCTGATAAGTTTATAGCAAGACTACAGTGTTTCAATTAATCCAGTGAGTCAGTTAGCTGGTGGTCTATTCAGATGGTATCTATTGTGCTATAAAATTGCCCTATAAAGACATTTTACCATATTACTCTGTAATTAACAATGCTAAGAATGACTGTTTCTCCAAATTGTCATCAACTTTGGTATTATCAAGCATTAATCTTTGGTTTGGATGGAAATATCTAATTTTTAATTTTGTAGGTCTTTAATCATGAAAGAAGTTGAAAATTTTTCATATGTTCATTGAATATTTATAAAGACTACTTTGTACAAAATATATTCTATCATATATCTTATATTACGTTTGTTACATGGGCAGTTTAGAATCAGTTAATTTTTGAAAAGTTCATTTGCACAATCAGTATCTTATGCACTTGTTGACTTTGAAGTGAAGTATCAGTTGATCAGTCATGTCTGACTCTTTGCGACCCCATGGACTGTAGCCCACCAGACTTCTCTGTCAGTGGGATTCTCCAGGCAAGAATGCGGGGGTGGATCACCATTCCCTTTTCCAGAGGATCTTCCCGACCCAGGGATTAAACCCGGGTCTCCTGAATTGCAGGCAAATTGTTTGCCGTTTGAGCTGCCTATTAACTCAGTTGTCACCTGCTGATCTTTTCCTTTTTTAGAAATTATTTGGAACTTGTTGCAAAATCCATTCAAGACTGGATCATAAAAGAAGAAGCTCTATATCAGGAAACTAAAATGTCTGATGAAATCAATAAAGCCAAGTATGAGCTGGAAATAAAATCTTCTGCTGGTATCAAAGTTTCTTCTACTAGCAAAATTTTTTCTATTAAAAAATCTAAAAGTAAGTAACCAATTTAACTTATATATAAAGTCCCAAGACATTCTGCTGTTTACTAATTAAATCAAGTCTGTGACTATTTCAGGATTAAAGAGTTGTCCACAACATTTCTGTGACTCTTCACTTTCCCTATAAAATAGAATAGCTGCTTTCTAAATATAATCAGAATGTTCGTCTTATATTGATTTGATACTTGTCTTATATTGACCCCACTTCCTGCCAGATTTAAAAGATTCAATCTGTTCAGATTAAATGTGATGTTAGGGAAATGCCAGATGTCTTTATTTTGGTGGGCTTGATAGGTTCGCCTAAGGTTTGTTGGCAATATATGAGGTAAATTCAGATACAGTATGTCTCTGTAAGAATAATTATGGCTTCCAAAGTGAGAATCAAACAAGACCTTCCTTATAAGAGTAAACAGAAGAGTCCTGAGACTAACTGGGGAGTTAGAATAACAAATGAAGGGAAAATGAATTCTTGGGGGCCTGTGGCATGGATTAGATGGTATATTGCATCAATATACATTTTTGTTTTTGTTGTTTATTTTCATTGTTTTGATGCTTTCAAGAAGAGAGAAGAAGCTGACAAAAAGAAAAAGGATATTTGATCGATGAGTGAAATGTTGATGTAATTCATCTGGAAAATAAAGATATTTTACTGGGTTCAGACAAAGGGAATGAACTCTGTGTAATTACTATTGATTATTTCTGGTAACTAAGTTGAGAGTGATTTCCTATAAAGAAACAAAACTATATAATTCCCTAAGTTTTTGCAACCTCTATAAACTACCAGGGGAATTTGTGCTTGGCTTGATTCTAAGATAAAACTTGGCAACCAAGTCAACAATTTACCTTTCACCAAAATGGTTCCATAATCCATCCATCACTTCAGCCTTGCTCCAGGTGGGGCAGCACAGGACAGCACTAAGTAATTAGAATACTTGATGGGATCATATAAAGCAGGTAGGGCTGCCCTTACAGTTGTATTGAGGTCACGCTTATCTGCTAGTACCAAGGATTGTGGGTTGACTGCCTTTTCTTTATTCTGCTTCTGAGCAGAACCAAAAGCTCAATAATTATCTGGGTGTCTGTGGACCAAATTCAGAAAATGGTCGATTTGAAACCAGAGTTGGGATGCACCTGGTAGGTATTAAACATTCCGTCTGAGGCCTCTCAAGTCAGGACAGATGTAAATCTTCACCACAAAATAGCTATAATGCAAGAGGAGGGCTTCGGTATGGAAGGAAAAGATAAATTTGTCCTCTGTGGTTTTAAGGGGTTAAATTAGGATTAATTAGATTAAAACTCTAGTGAAAGTCCAGCTCAATAAAAGCTTCAAAATCTCAACACATTGAGAATGGAATGCACTGCCTCTACTGATGGTGAGTTGTTCATCCCTAAAAGAGTTCATTTCTACTTCAGATGTCCACTCTAGAGATGACCCCGCCCCGCCCCCCCCAAAAAAAGAATTCAGATATAAGTGAATAGGGCTCTCCTACAATTCAGATGTTTGGTCCTTCTATGAAAATTAGAGAGTTTTACAAAGAAGTTTAATTTTCTCTGGTTATAGGTAACAAAGGAATGAGCAAAACAGAAATATCAGATCAAGAAAAAGACAAAGAAAAAGAGAAGGAAAAGATTCATTTTGTTTTAGAAGGCTCTCTCAAGGTAACCCAAAGAAAGACAAATGACACTGACAAATTACAGGTTCAAAATTATGTTGTGCTAGAGCATTTGTGTAGTATCACAGGAAATGATCTTTTTGCTAAACTCTCAGATAATTGAATCTTCAATGAAATAACAGTCTCTCCACCAAGCTCACTCCTCCACCAGATGATAAACCTTTAGAGAACTCTGCCAAAGTCCAGAGCAGCGCCCCTTTTTCATAGTTGGTATACTCGCTGCTTCTGCTGCAGTGGTTTGTTTTTGTTTGCATTTTTACTGGGATTTTTAATTACAAAAGTAATACATGCTTTTACAAGAAAACTTAACCTGGCAGGCCTAAGCTCCTGAAATCAGAAATAGTAAAAGTTTGGTTTGTTCTGTGCTCATACAAGCATGCATACACAAATGTAAAGAAAGTTTTCACGTTTGGTTTTGGTTTAGGTTTGATATATATATATATATTTTTAACTCTGCCACATACTTTTTTCTCTTATCAATACATCCTGAATATCACTTCCAGACAGTATTGAGAGATCTAACTTATCTTCATAGCATTATATTAGTCTATGATTTGGATGTACCTTAATTTATAAAACAATTTCCTTATTAATAAATGCCAATTTTTAATATACAGAAACACTCAACTTTTATGTATTCAAATCAATCATTTTTGGCCAAAATTTAGAAGACACTGCCAAATTTTGGCAAGGATGTGAAGTAAAGCAAATTCTCCTATACTGCTGAAGTATAAGTTGGTACTTTCACTTTGGAAAATTGGGTGTAACTACTAAAGTTAGGCATACAATTTCTCTTTAACCTAATAATTTCACTCCTCAGTATATACCTGATATACAGATGCTTGCACGGGTGCACCAAGACATACGGACACAATTGTTTTTGCAGTGTTGTTTTTAACTCTCCCAAACTGGAAACAATTCAAATATCCATCAATAGAAAGTCTAGAATGGTTTACTCATGTGATGAAATACTATGCAGCTATGTAAATGGCCTATAGCTTACAGAAATATGTATGAATCTCACAAACATCATATTAAGAAAAAGATGAGAAAGTTAAAAGACTATATATTGATACATTATATATATAAGATTTCATTTATAGAAAGTTTTAAATGGCAAAGCTAAAAACTAATGTATTAAAAACTAGGATGATGGTTGCTTTGGGGCAGTTCAGGTAGGCAGTAGTTGAGGAGAAGAATGAAGGGGGCTTCTGGGGAGCTAGGGATCATCTATTTCTTGGCTTGGTGGTACTTCTACGGGAGTGCTTACATGCATGCGTCAGTCGCTCTGTCATGTCTGACTCTCTGTGACCCCATGGACTGTAGCCTGCCAGGCTCCTCTGTCCATGGAATTTTTCAGGCAAGAATACTGGAGTGGGTTGCCATTTTCATCCTCCAGGGGTCTTTCTGACGCAGGGATCAAACCTGCATCTTCTGTGTCTCCCGCATTGCAAGCAGATTCTTTACCTGCTAGGCCATCAGGGGAGCCCACAGTAGTGCTTACTTAGTGGTAATTCATTCAGATGTTCACTTAGAATTTGTGCTCTTTTTGAATGTATGTTATAGCTTCACACAGAAAAAGAAGTTTTTAAAATATCTGTTATTTTTTTAAATGTTTTTAGGACTTCTATGCTTTTGATTCCATCAGGTTGATTCTACCCTGAGTTTATGTTAATTTTCATGGACTCTCTTAGAATATTTTCATAGATATGCTTTTCATATTCAGAGATCATTAGAAATGATCTGAAATACATTTTTGTAGTGTAATGTAAGTGTCTTAGTTTTTCTTTGCCCAGATGGACTGTCATTTTACTAGTACCATTTGATTAAATGTAATATTAATCCCCATCCCTTAAACTAAACTGGAATGTTGATATGTCACGTATTAGGTACCCATTTTTTAATCTGTTTTTTAAAATCCCTATAAAATGATAAAAGACATATTCTAAGCTCTTCTGAACACCGGAGTGTTTAGTGTTTGTGTCCTTTGAAATTCATATGCTGAAAATCTAATCCCAATGTGAAGGTGTTTTAATCCATTTTTGAATGCTGAATTCTGTTTCAGTCATCCACTTATTTATTCCTAGACAAGTACCATACTATTTTAATTACATTAGCTTTGTTGTGAGCTTATACATTGGGTAGGCAGGAGCTGATTTCCCCATCTCCATCAGTGTGCAGTTACCTTCAAAATGTTGTTGGTTAATATTGAAGAGCCTCCCTGGCTTCTTGGTATTAATGGTAAAGGTAAATTACATGGCAAAATATATGTTTGCTGCTTATACTAAATTTTAAAGTACCTGTTGGTATTGAAACTATTATCTCTTGGGGCTTTTTCCTTTATTTAGGAGATACATTGAATTATGGAGATTGACTTAACAGTATGAATAACCTTTGAATTTCTAAAACAAGCTTCCCTTCAGTATTTCCTAAAGTTTAGTCCTTATCCTATGAAACCACATATGCCATAATTGCTTAAGTATCTCTGAAAGAGGAGAGAGTTAAAAGATATATGTTTATGTTCCATCCTAACTGATCTTTGGGAGTAGAACCTAGGAATTTTAATTTTTAGTAAGCTCCTGAGTCCATCTTTATGTACATTACTGATGAAAATTATAACACAGTTTTTCATGGCATATTATTATTTTAATAAACAACTAGATTTGATCTGATAGTATTTTATCTAAAATTTTTGTGTCTAAGACGATTGAAATTATAGGCTTTTATATTGTTTTTAACAAGCATCACTATTAAGGATATGTTGGCTTTTTAAATTTAGTTGATACGTAGTATTATATGTTATATTACAATGATGATTTAATACCTTATCATTTTTGAAATGCATTATGCTAGAAATGTTTCTTTGAACATCTAGTCTACCATATTGCTGATTATTTAGAACCTAAATTGGGGATTTGACTCATGTGGAAAATATAGGAGGCAGGGAAACCAGCTAAGAGGCTGATGCAGTAGTTCAGGTTAAAGATAAAAAGAGACGTGAAGTTAAAAAAAAAAAACTGCAACAGAGGTGAGTGAAAAAGCTGCAGTGAGAGAATCAAGGATTGTACGACGGTCTCTAGTTCAGTATTTTGATCCATCAGAGACATAGCTTATAAAAAATGATGTGAAATGTTCTCCAAAGTGAACCTGAATGGGATCAAATTTGTTTCAAAATCCTGTTAAATGTTTTAAATGTGTTTACAGGCCTGGAAAGAAGAACAAGATCGGTTAGCTGAAGAGGAACGCTTAAAGGAAGAAAAAAAAGCAGAAAAGAAGAGTAAGGAGGCTGGTAAAAAGAAAGGCAAGGAAAAACCAGAAAAAGAAGATAGTAAGATTTTCAAGAAAAAATCTTTTATAAGGGAGAAATCGAAAGAAGAGCAAATGAAGGTCCCGGAAATAACAGAGGAGCCCCTCCAGGAACCAGAACCTGAGATAGTTTACCCGGTAGAATAAATTTTCTAAAAAGCCCCTTTGGGTTATACCTAGTTGTCTGGGGAAAAACTCAGCTTGGTGGAAACAAGGTTTTCAGTCTTCACTGCTGTCAGAGAGGCCTTGGGGTTTCTACCAGTATGGGTGATCTCACACCTGCAGTCCACCCTCTGATACCTGGAACCTTCTTTGCAGCCAGTTGGCAAGACAGCAACACCCTCAGGCCAGTTTTTATGGAGTGCCTTGAAGCTAGGTTTCTAGATGGGATTTTGGCACAAAAGCATTCATTTAGGTATAGGTAAATAAGCAACTCTGACAGGTCGAAACGTTACCAAGCCAAACTTGGGTCCACTTACCCACACACAGTAAAGCCAATCTACTGATACCGGGTTGTTGTGAAGGAAAGTGCAGCATTTATCGCAGGGCGCCAAGCAGAGAGTCCTGGACAGCCAGTGCTCAAAGCAGCTGACTCCCCAGTGGGTTTCAGGAAAGCAGATATAAAGGCCAAGTGAGGGAGGGGAGTCCCAGGCTGCATGATCAGCTGTGCACAATTCTCTAGTTGATGTGAGGTAATAGGTCTTAGGGGTAACAGAGTCACAGGGATTAACATTATCAATCCTTAGATGTCAACAGGTCTGGGGGCTACTGTGCTTATTGTCATCAAGTAGTTAGTTTCTTCCATTTAGTGGGAGTTTTAGCATCTATAAAACAACTCCGCAAATGTGCACGAGGTACTATTATCTAGTTACTTAGAGGAGCTAACGCAGAGGATATGAGGGAGGTAGTCTCTCCTGTGAAGGCCCCGTAGGGTCCTGAGGACACAAAGGTTGGTTTTATCTGACTTAGGTGACTGAACTTGCTGAGGGCATTGGGTTGTCTCTCTGTAGGCACCCCATTTCTTGCCTGTAGCTTTTATAAAATCTTTCCTTTTCCAGTCTCTCCCTCAAGCAGTTTTATGAGAAAAACATAATGGGCAAAAATGAGGGGGAAAGTAATAGTCCTCGTCCTTTCTAGTTACTACTCTGAGCCAGTTGTTCTCAAGCTTTAGCATGTAATCAGTGTCACTTGGAGCTGTATTAGCCACACAGTTAGAAAAGTCTTTAACACATGACCTTCTAAAGTGTAAAGTTATTAATATTCCTCAATATATCAGTTCACTTTAAACAAAAAGTTAATAGCCAATGAAAGAAATTGATTTCTCTTCCTATGGTATTATGAAGATAACCCAATGAACAGAGTTTAAAATCATGAGCCTCCTTTAATTCTGCTTGTTATTGTAAGACCACAGAAGGTACCAAAGATAAGATGGACCCTGGCCTCTGAGTCTAAAAAGTGATGACAAATCCTTTAGCAAAAATAAGGCTTATGACAACTTAAACTGGCTCACACAGATGACCTAATCTTTGTCAATGGCTGTTCCACATTCAAAGCATGATGTTTTCTCTTCTAGTTTCATGGATACAACATGGGAGAAATACCCGTGCAAATCTCAGGAACAAATTATTATCTGTATCCTTCTGATGGAGGGCAGATTGAAGTAGAAAAGACAACATTTGAAAAAGGTACCATTTGACAGAAGCTGGTTAATGGCTTGGAAGATATTAGCCCATTTCAGATCACTGTGGGGCCTTGTCCTCCTGAATGTGATGGGTGAAAGTAGTGATGTGCCCCCAGTAGCTCATTTATGTACCATGTTCGCCATCTTCAGACTTCACTCTCTTCTGTTTTAATAACCTCTGCAAGGCACAGGCCACCTTGAGGTTAGCTGAACATACTAAGACAAACATTCCATGATGTGACATACTGCTATAGGATTGGAAAATAAGAGTAACTGCAATAAATAAATCATTACTTAATAATGTTAATCCAACAGACAGTATTATCTCAGAAACCAAGCACATACTGTAAATTTAGAGCAAATTCCTGGTTAGGTCTTCTGGAGCACAGAGCTTGGGGCCCTGCCTCTGATATCCAGTTATTTTAGCTACAGAGTAATTGCCTCTGGATTCAGAAGTCATTAGGTGGGAGGGGATCTTGGAGATGAACTGAGGCAGACCCATTCTGGAAAAAGGACATGCATTGTTCCCCCCAAGGGAAGAGCAGATCTGTGCTCTAGGAAACTTATCAAGGATATCTCATAGAGCTTCTCTTTTTACTGTGCTTTAAAGATTTCTTAGGATGGGTTTGAGAACGTGGGCTTTATTTGAACAACTTATCATCTTGTAGGGAGCAGTGGTCGCTGAGAGCTGGGAAGACTCAGTGAGGAGGGAATGTGAGCAGGATCCTGTTTAATGTCCACAAGATTATGCAACCCAGCAAGGGCTACCAGGGCTGCTCCCACCTACACTCTGCCTATGACACCAGCCACCCCTTCTCACTTCCTACCCTTCCTCCATCTGCCATCCCTCTCTTAGTTTTCCTTCTCCTCCCTTCCTTCCTTGTCATCAAATGACCATAATTTAATGAGGAAATCATTACAAGAGTCAGAATGCTATTCCCTATGTGGAATCATGGCTCAAGCATCATTAGGTAGTAATTGCCACATCAAACAAAAGATCATACTAATGATTTTTAAAATAAAAAGGCCTGCAAGTTATTCAAATTATTTAAAGAATGGTTGTGGTACAACTATCAAACGCCAGACTTTTTACTATGTAAAGTTTGTTTATTTAAAACATGAAAGGGATTTTTGTTATAGATGTTGTTGTTGTTTAGTTGCTAAGTCATGTCCAACTCCTGCGACCCCATGGGTTGTAGCCAACCAGGCTCCTCTGTCCATGGGTTTTCCCAAGCAAGAATACTAGAGTGGGTTGCCATTTCCTTCTCTCATTAATAGATTGATATACATATGTATTTATATTACCATAAGTTTCAGTATTTAGTATTTTGAATATCATCCCTGGGTGTAGAGTATAATTCGTGATAAAGATGAAACTCAGAATCACATAACTGAGAAGAGCACTAGACTCTAGTTTTATAATGCTATGTTCTGTTTTCAGTAACTATTCTTCACTCATCAATATTTTCATATGCATATAATGTATGGAGAGATGTGAAAGTGGGCTTCTCTGACAGCTCAGTTAGTAAAGAATCCTCCTGCAATGCAGGAGACCCTGGTTCAGTTCCTGGTTTGGAAAGATCTGCTGGAGAAGGGATGGGCTACCCACTCCAGTATTCTTGGGCTTCCCTTGTGGCTCAGCTGGTAAAGAATCTGCCTGCAATGCAGGAGACCTGGGTTCAATCCCTGGGAGAAGGGATAGGCTACCCTCTCCAGTATTCTGGTCTGGAGAATTCCATGGACTGTTTAATTTATGTAAGTTTCAGAGAGTTCATATGCTATCTGAAAGTATACTATTTTCATCTTAATCCTAGTAACTTTGAGCAATGATCATTCAATGAAAGTTGAAAAGCCTGGGTGAAAAAAAAGAAAAAAGCTGAAAGAGGAGAGAAAGAATGAGTCAAGACACTGGAAGAAAGAATATGTTGTTTGGGAAATTCTTATGTGTTCTTAACAACTACTGTAACTAAAATTCATGCAATTCTTTGTAAACTGCAAAATCTTTTCACATTAACCCTCGCACGTGATTGATCATAAAGTTGAGTATAGATGAGGAGCCTGGCGGGCTACAGTCCATAGGATTGTGAAGAGTCAGACATGACTGAAGAGCAACTTAGCACACACATAACCTTAGCTCAGCCAATTTATTCTCCCTTCTCTAATTTGATTTTAGGTGTGAGCAGAAAATCTGAAAATATCTCCCTGATCCACCTGCTATTTCTTCCTGGAATCCCACATTACTTTATTCCTTTAGGTATCTTTTTATAAAAATGGTGACATCCCTAGGTATTTCCAGTCCTTGGCTTACATTCTATTATGTAAATTGGCTGCATTATTTAGAGGTTTTATTACAGAGTTTAATGGGGCATCACCATCAGCCCACTTTCTATCCCATGATTCTTCCCCAGGTCCAACATTTATCAAAGTGAAAGTAAAAAAGGACAAGCACAATTTTTTAATTCACTTAAGAGACCCTAGGAAAATTGTGGAACAGGAGAAAAAAGAAGGGGATTATACTTCAGAAGATGAGAAAGAAGAAAGAGAAGGACAGCAAAACTTTGAAGCAGGTAAACAGCTGCATCTTTGTGGCAGTGTATCAGTACTTCAGTAGGTCAACTGCATCCACCTAGCAGAAACACAGGTATCCCCGGCAGGTAGCATGTGTCGTTTTTCCAGATGATAACTGAAGTGTTTTGCTATCTTCTATATATACGTTTTCCGTAATATAATGTGTATATATAACACATTGTATCCATAACCAATCTATATCTATATCTTCCTTGGTTTTGCCTCCTCTGGAAACTCAGCTTTTGATTCCAGATGACATGCAGGCTATCTTGCATGGCTATGTTTATGATTTTGCAGTATCCATCCTGGCCTGAATTTTATTTTATTCAGTGTACCAAATGCAGTCTCTAGGAGTCGGGTCCTCATTAATTGACTCCTATTTGAAGGCTAGACTTCTCTCCAATATTGATTGCAAATGATGCAGTTTTTATCTGTGTGCTTATCACTTTGTTCTCCCTGTAGTCTCAGGTTTCTCAAGTTGCAAGGACAAGGAAAAAATCCTAAATTTGGCCATGAGCATCTCTACCTGCTTGTAGGTGGGAGTTCCAAATGGATGTCCATTGGTCATACACCATGAAATTTCCTGATAACACCATTTAACATCTCCAGGCACCATTAACTGGAGAAATCAATTGCTTCTCGCCCAGTGTGGGTTATACCTGCAAACGAAGATGAGTTAATTAATAAAATGCTTTGAACACAAGTTACTAATAAGTAATAAGATCAGTAACTAAATCTTGCTAGCAAATTTAGTTACGGTCACAGTATTTTCTAAATTCAAGGTAAGAATACAGTGTTTGACAAGTATGAATGTACCCAAGAACTTAAAAATAAAAAAATTTTAATGGCTTTCTGTGTTTTGCCAGATATAAAAACACATGGTTTAGTATAAAAATTAGGAAATATAGGAATATTTTTAAAAGATGACAGTTGCCCATAAGTCTACCACCCCAGAAGTAACCACTATTCACAGTATATTTCTTTCTTTCTTTATCATGATGTGAAAGTGAAAGTCGCTCAGTCATGTCCGACTCTCTGTGACCCCATGGACTCTACAGTCTGTAGAATTCTCCAGGCCAGAATACTGGAGTGGGTAGGCTTTCCCTTCTCCAAGGGATAATGAGCAGTTTCCTATTCATTAGATATCCTCTACAAATAATTTTTTAATGATTTCATAATAATTCATTGGTGTATATTTATATATATTATAATTTACTTAATCATATCCTTGTTTTAAATATATTTAGATGATTTCCACTTCTCACTGAATTTTGCTTACATTTTTTTGATAAAACAGAAATGTCCTTGATTCAATTTTATCTTTTAGAAGAATCAAATGAAGAGAATAAAGCTGTCAGCAAGTTTGGATCTTTTTCTGCCACCTTGGAAAATGGAATCTGCCTCTCAATAAGTTACTATGGATCAAGTGGATCAGCACCAGGTGAATTAAACACAACAGAAAGGATAAATGTCCCGTGTCCAAGGGCAGCTGCCCATCCTCCATCTGCTCACTTGTTGATAAACATGTTCTGATTTAATGCCCCTCATTTCCTGAGCAGTGGGAATATTTGTGTGTGTACATATATATGTGTGTGTACACATGTATGTACACATGTAATCTTTCATACATAGAAAATAACAGTGATTTGGCATTTTAAACAGCATTTATCATATGTATAATCTCCCATATAACCACATATACATACATATAAGTTGTCTTTGTGAACTAGCCCATGAAAATCAGTCTGTTAGGTGGTGACAAAAACAGCATGATTGGCTGAGGAATCCTTTTGATTTTCTACAGAATAATATTTCTTTGAATCCTGTGTTTGTGGAACTTCTCACTGTGCCTCAGAACATTAGTCTTAAAGGAGCCATTCACTAAGCATATTGAAGGATTTATTTACCCTACTCTCAATAAATAAATTCTCCAACTGGAAGCTATTTCCTTACAAACCACAAAATAACCTGTCACTTTACCAAGAACCAATTAGGAGAACTTGTGGGTTCTCAGGCATTTTGTAGGGATCTATCCACAAGATGTTAAAAAAAAAAAAAAGGCTTTATAAAATCAAAAGGTAAAAAAAAAAAAAATCAAAAGGTAATCCCAATGCTGTTTCCTTACACTATGTGGGAATCTCTGTGATCAATTATCTGCCTGACCATGTAGATCCATTTCTCTAGAGACAGGATTCCTATGGATCATTAATCCATGTTTCTTACCTTGTGCCAAATATTGTAGTCCCTTAGTGAATTAAATTTGTTAGTATTTTTGCTTTTATTTGGGTTTTGACCTTGAACTTTGTATTTTGATTTATTTTTAATCCATTTGGAGAAGTCATCTGGTGCCTAGCAAATTATGTATTAAAATCCATGATCACATACAATCACTAACCACACCCCTTCTGAACAAGATTATCAATTATTTACATTAAGATATTTACATTCTGCTCTCTATCAACTGTACTGCTGCTATTTCTTAAATGATTTCCTTATTCTCAATTAATCCTTAAATTAATATAAAATCTTTCCATTTAATACAGATGTTCCTCATTTTAGGTTATAGGTATTACATTTGAAAATGTTTACAGAGTAGATAAGAAGTATTGTTTTACTTCCTGTATATTTTTAAAAAGTTGAAGGCATCTGCTAAGTCACCTCAGTCGTGTCCAACTCTGTTCGACCCCATAGACCGCAGCCCACCAGGCTACCCCCAACCTGGGATTCTCCAGGCAAGAACACTGGAGTGGGTTGCCATTTCCTTCTCCAATGCATGAAAGTGAAAAGTGAAAGTGAAGTCGCTCAGTCATGTCTGACTCTTAGCGACCCCATGGATCGCAGCCTACCAGGCTCCTTTGTCCATGGGATTTTCCAGGCAAGAGTACTGGACTGGGGTGCAATTGCCTTCTCTGATCGTCTTTGTTAAAAAAAAAAAAATACTATAAATTCCTTAAGGATGCATACAATATTAATAATATTTAAGAACATTTATCTACTAATGGCTAAACAAATTTTCAATCCAATTCTCCCATCTTAATTCAGTATGCACAGCTCTCTGGAGCTTATTCATTTTGCTTAACTGAAATTTTATGCCCACTGATGATGATACTACTTTATGCTTCCAATTTCCTTCTCTCCCCAGGCCCTGGCAACCACCATTCTACTCTTTAGTTCTGTGAATTCAGCTCTTTTAGATACTTCACATAAGCCGAATCAGGCAGTGTTTGTCTTTTTGTGACTGGTTAGGGCTTCCCTGGTAGCTCAGTTGGTAAAGGATCTGCCTGCAATGAAGGAGACCCTGGTTGATTCCCAGGTTGGGAAGATCCCCTGGAGAAGGGATAGGTTACCCACTCCAGTATTCCTGGACTTCTCTTGTGGCTCAGCTGGTAAAAAATCCGCCCACAATGTGGGAAACCTGGGTTTGATCCCTGGGTTGGGAAGATCCCCTGGAGACAGGAAAGGCTACCCACTCCAGTATTCTGGCCTAGAGAATTCCATGGACTGTATAGTCCATGGGGTCGCAAAGAGTCAGACACAACTGAACGACTTTCACTTTATTTCACTTAGCATACTGTGCTCAAGGATCATCCACATTGTTGCAAATTACAGAATGTCCTTCTTTTTTAAGACTTAATAGTGTTCCATTGTAAGTATACATCATACTCGAACCATTCATCTGTCAATGGGCCTTTTGTATTATCTCTACAACTTGGCTCCCCTGTGCTTTTTGTGCCTTTCAGTTCCTTGATGATCTATGTTATCTCTTATCTCTGACCAATTGCCCATGCTGTGCCCTTTGCTCAGAACACTTTCTCTTGCTATATATACCACCACCACTTTGAACAGTGAACTTCCTCCCACACTTCAGGACTCAGCTTACAGGTTACTTGCTCTAAGAAATGCTTCACTCGTGTGAACTGAGTCTTTGGAGGTGAGTGGAATTTGCTTAGGCAAAGAATCAAAGGAAGAGAATTCTATATCAGGAGCAGCATGTGCAAAATCACAGTAATATAAAAGTGTGGCACATTTGTAAAATAACAATTGCACGGTATAGTCAGGCCTCCATATCCTATATCCATGGGTTCTGTATTCATAGATTAGACCAACCTGTTTAAAATATTCTTTAAAAAAATTCAGGAGAATTTCACAGAGCAAAACTTTGCCCCCAAATTGGCCACACGCCTAGCACTGGGCTGAAGTCAGGTGGATGATGGGATGTGTAGGCCCACCCTACTGTGACCTCCCACCACATCATAGATCCAGTCTCTCCAATGCTCATTGTATGAGCATTGTTCTTCTGGCATTTTGTTTGTTTGCTATACATGTTATGTGTGCATGCTTGGTTTCTGTGAAAAATGGCTCCCAATAGCAATTAAGTGGTCAAAACAATCCCACCAAGGCCAAGAGGGAGTACAAAATGCTATCTCTCAACAATAAAATACAAATCTTTAGATCTTTTAAAAAGTGACAAGTGCCTTGCTGAAGTGGAATATGAGGTTACTAAGAACAAATGGAACATTCTCACAGTAATGCAGAAAGAAGCTGAAATTCATAGAAGTGTTAGAGCTTCCCCTACAATGGCAAAAATGATCTCTCTGGTTCATTACAAAGTGCTTGTAAAGACAGAAAGCATTTTGTCTGTAGCTAAGGGCCATGGCGTGAAGCATGTCCCTGGGGGTAGCAAAATTATGGATGAAAGAGCACATAGCCTCTGTGAGCAGTGCTGTGGGGATGGTGAGGAGAGCAAGAGGAAGGGGTTTAAGGGCCTTAAGAGATGGCTACTTGGGTAGTAAAGTGTTAGGGTCCCTCAAAAACTTAAAGATCATGGAAAAATCAACATCAGCCAATGCCAAAGCAGCATCAGTGTTTCCAGAAGACCTCGAGAAACTCACAGAAGAGAAAGTTCACTTTCCAGAGCCAGTCTTCAATTGTGACAAAACAGGCTTATTCTGGAAGAAGATGCCCAATCATATCTACATCTGTAACAGGGCCAGGTAACCCCGGGGTTCAAGGCCCAGAAAGCTCACCTTACTCTGGGGCTGTGTGGCAATACAGCAGGTAACATGATCAAGCCTAGTCTATAAGCAAACAACTCCTGGGCCTGGAAGAACAAAAACAAAAATTGTCTGCCTGTGTTCTGGCAGCACAACAGGAAAGTTTGGGTGACAGAAGTCTTGTTCTTGGAATGGATCCTCCAAGGCTTCATTCTTAAAGCGAAGAAATACCTGGAAGAGAAGGGGCTGCCATTCAAGGGGTTCCTCTTAATTGGCAATGCTCCCAACCAACTGAGCTTCTCTGCCTCATTGACAAGAAAGTGGAAGTGATGTTCCTGCCTCCTAGTGCTGCATCACTGCTGAAAGAAAGTGTGAAAGTGAAGTCGCTCAGTCATGTCTGACTCTCTGTGACCCCATGGACTGTAGCCTACCAGGTTCCTCCATCCATGGGATTTTCCAGGCAAGAGTACTGGAGTGGGTTGCCATTACAGCCACTCAATCAAGGCATCGTCGAGGACATTAAGACAACTTACATCCGCCTTACCTTGGGAGAGATTCATTCTATCCTTGGTGCTAACCTGGACTGCAGCATCATGGATTTACAGAAGAGCTCCACAGTTGTGGTTTGAACTGTGTTTATTGCAGAGTCTGTAGATACCCTGAAGCCTGAGACAGTCAGGGCATGTTTGAAGCCATTATAGTATGAGATGGTTGATGGTCTCAATGACTCCCCCACTGTTGATGTAGAAATCGTCAAATATCTGAATATCTCAAATGTTGCAAGGGAAGTTGAGGGGGGTGCCTCCTCTGACATGGTCTAGGATGATGTCGAAGAACATATAGAAGATAAAGGAATCCTTAGCAACAAGGAACTCAAAGATCTGCTGAAGTCTTCTGCAGATGACTGTGATGATGCAGAAAATTTAGAGGAAGCAGAGCCATCAGTTTGAACACTTGAAAAAATGGCAGTGACTTTTCAATAGGTGCAAGTGTTAAAGGATGTGATCCTCAAGTACAATCCTTTTTTGGACTGAAGCCTCTGTGTCACCCAAGGTATAACAGCATGCCTACAACCACTGCAAGACTTCTTTGATGATACATAGAGAAGGAAGAAACAGCTTCCTCTAACAATGATTCTAACTAAGGCATCTGCAGTTGTGAAGCCTAGACCTTCAACACTTGAAGATCCTCAGCCCTCAACCTCCAGAGATCCTGACATTAGTGTTACTGAGCCTGCTCCAGAGTGTCAGTGTCTACAGTTGGAACCCAATTATCTGGACTGAACACCTTCTGATATCCTGTCATAAGGCTTAACTCAGCCTGATGCCTCACCACTTAGCAACAGTGCCACACACCTCATCAACTTGCCACATTGGTACCATAGACACCATATAGCAATCATCATTGTCATCATCATCATCCAAGGGGATCAAGAGAGAAGAACCAG